AGATTGAGCAGGGATCCTCCTTCCTCCCTCCCAGCCCAGCTCCTGCCCCCACTCTGTAATGGCCAGAGCAAATGCAGACCCCAAGTTTCGGGAGATCTTCCGCTTCAACACCCCGGTGCTGATGTGGGACCAGCACTTCACCCTGGAGACCTGGGACAGGCTGAAGACACGGCATGTCCCCTATGGCTGGCAAGGCTTGTCCCTCGCAGGTACAGACCCAGCTGGGATGTGGGGCAGCTTGAGGGGATCGGGGAGCCCAGAAGGGACTGGAGATATGGGACAGGCAAGGAGCCCTGCAGAGGAGCCAGGAATGTTGATCTCTTCCCACCCCACCTCCCGAGGCACAGGGCAGAGGGTGCGGCTCTTGCTGCATCTTGTGACATTTTCCCTGAATAAAAGCTCCAGTGTGTCTGTGATTATTAACTGGGGCCGGAGGAGCTCGGACAACCAGCTCCATTGTTGTGCATGCAGATTGTTTCCCTTCCCACCCCAAACCCACTCTCTGTTTTCCCTGGCAGCTGCCAGCTTCAATCCCTGGGCTGGGAAGTGCTGGGAACAGCAAGCAGGAGACAACCAGTGGCATTTGCAGAGACATCTTCAGGAGGGGATGTGGCCAGCACAGGCAGCAGCATCTGCAGGGCTGGAGATATCCGGATGCATCTCTGTGCCTTGCACAGCCTTGGGCGGCCACTGCTTGCAGCAGGGTTAGGAGCATGGGGAGATAAGAGATAAGAGGAGGTGACACCAAGCTGGGAGAGGAGAGCCTGTGTGGTGCCCCCATATCCCACCTGCAGACCTCTCTCCTGCACGGAGTTTTCTTGTGTGCTGCTCCTGGCTGTGCTGTGCCAGCTCTGTGCGTGCTGTTGCACGTGCTCACATGGGTCGGCACACACCTTTTTTTTTTCCCTGCTGACTGGTCTCATCCTGCTCCATTCCAGTGGTGGGCAGCACCCTGCAGCTCCTCAACGCCTCGGCCAACAGGCACCTCTTCGACAGGGCTGCCTTCTCCGGGGGCTGCGTCCGCTGCGCCGTGGTGGGCAACGGTGGCATCCTCAACGGCTCGCGGCAGGGCAAGGCCATCGACAGCCACGACCTGGTCTTCAGGTGAGGGTGAATCCCAGGCAGGATGGGGCCATGGGTGCTGGGAGGTGCCAGCCCTGGACACGTGCTCTCTGCTTTTCCTGCAGGCTCAACGGTGCCGTGATCAAGGGCTTCGAGGAGGACGTCGGCACCAAGGTCTCCTTCTACGGCTTCACGGTGAACACCATGAAGAACTCACTCATCTCCTACGAGGAGTATGGCTTCACCCAGATCCCCCAGGGCAAGGTGAGACCTTGAGGGCTTGTTGGGGACTTGAATCAAGCTGTCCCTTCAGGCTGGGCTTGCCTCTGAGATCTCCTCCCCATCTCGAGAGTCCTCAGTCCTCTCCTGCAAGCATGGGCCGTGTCCCTAAACCCCCCTCCAATGCCCTGTCTGTGTCCCTGCTGCAGGACCTGAAGTACATCTTCATCCCCTCGGATATCCGTGACTACGTCATGCTGAAATCAGCCATCCAGGGCAGCCCTGTGCCCGAGGGCTCGGACAAGGGGGATGAGTGAGTAGCTCCCCAAGATCCCCCCAGCACCCCCAGTGATGCAGGCATGACTCGCCTGTCCTCTCCCCACATCTGTCCCCCCCAAGAAGCTCCAGGACTCCCATAACAAAAGTTCTGCCTTTCTCCTTGCCTTGCTACAGCCCACAGAAATACTTTGGACCGGAGGCATCGGCAGAGAAGTTCAAGCTGCTGCATCCTGATTTCCTGCAGTACCTGACAGCAAGGTGAGGGTGATGAGCACTGTGGCTGCTGTCTGGCTCTGCTCCGGGCTGGGCTCAGACTGCCTCCTCGCCCTCTGCTCATTCCAGTACAGACCAGTAGCTGTCCAGCATCAAAGTGCAGTCCCAGTCTCCCCTAGACACTGGAACCACCCCTACCCTGCTGTTTGCACACAAGGCAGAGGCGTCTCTCCCCTGCCATTCCTGTTCACTGCAGCACAGCTCACATCCCCTCCTACATCTCCCTGTGCTCACCTTGCTTCCATTCCCCAAAACAAATTAAATTTTGTCCCAGTCTAACAGGAGCAAAAGTAGGTCCCAACGGGATAGTCTTTTCCTGCCTTTTATGAAAGCAGGTGCCCAGGTTGGGGTGGCTCCAAACAGCAGAGGTGCCTTTTACCAGCCTCTGAGCAAATGAGAGGAGCAATCAGAGAGTCCAGTGTTTCACTCAGTGCTCCTGCCTTATTGGGCACTGGTGGCACTGGAGCAGGTTGGGTGGGTGTGGGTCTGGGGGCTGCAGGGCTGTGCAAACCCCACAGCCACCGTGTCCCCATCAGGTTCCTGCGGTCAGAGCTCCTCAACACCCAGTACAGCTCCCTGTACATGCCCAGCACCGGCGCCCTCATGCTCCTCACTGCGCTCCACACCTGCGACCAGGTAAGGGGCCACGGGGCCACTGTTCCCCTGGGGAGAAGGGAGCCCCCCCTTTGGCTGCTGTGGTGTTCCAGCGTATCCTGGTGGCTGTCCTACATGTCCCCTGCCCCTGAAGGGAGTGCTGGTGGTGATGGACCACCCGAGGTGAAGCCTTGACCCTTCCTCTGTCTGCCCCACAGGTGAGTGCCTACGGGTTCATCACAGACAACTACGAGCAGTTCTCAGACCACTACTACGAGGTGGAGAAGAAACCTCTGGTGTTTTATGCCAACCACGACATGATGCTGGAGGCAGCGCTGTGGAGGAGCCTGCACCGTGCAGGGATCATCACCCTCTACCAGCGCTGAGGCCGGGAGCCTGCCCCACAGGGGCAAGTCCAAGGACTCTTGTGGCTCTTCTCCTTCCTCCTGAGGGTCACCTTCTCCCTCCTGAGGGCTCTTCCCAGCTGGCCAGCCAGCCCACGGAGCAGGCTTGCTGCACCACAGCCAGCAGTGATGTGAGGATAACAGGGAAGCTGGTGCTGGTGGAGGAATGTTGCATCTCCTCAGGGATCAGTGGGATTGAACATGGCCTTTGGGGCAGCCAGAAGCACCACAGCTGTGGCTGTGCCCTGCCAGCCCCATGAATGTGGGGCAGAAGTGGCCCCTGTGGAGCACAGGAGGGGCAGGGTGATGCTGGAAGAGGATGCTGGAAAATGCCCTTCACCTTAAACGGTCATCACCATGCTGGGACCGCAGCAGGCAGGATAAATCCTTGCACTGGAGCTCAGGTGACAACAGGTGACATGTCTGGAGAACACCTCTCTCCAGAAAGACTGCAAAGTCCCAGCTCCAGCCAGCTGTGTGTGGATGTGTGCCACATTCCAGAAGGATCTGTTTGCCTCCCTGGTCAGTGTCACAGAGAGCAGGACAGACACAGAGGTCCCTGTCACTGTCCCCTTCTTGAGGTCTGGTGTTTTCTCACAAGGAAGGGGCTCAAAAGCCACCAGCTACAAGGAGGGTCACAGCAACTCAGCCAGGACACCAGGAACACGTCCAGGCTCTGAGCAGCCCAGAGGTGACACTGGCCTCAGCCGTGTGTGTGGCACTGGCTTTGTCAGCCTTTTCTTGCACAGGGACTCCCTGGTGCCTCTGAGGCAGCCCCACAGCAGGTGGGTCAAAGTGATGGTCACTCTTAATTTCCTTCCCCAAACCCCAACTCCCTGGTGCCTCTGAGGCAGCCCCACAGCAGGTGGGTCAAAGTGATGGTCACAATTTCCTTCCCCAAACCCCGAGGGAGGGGAGGGTCCTGAACCCTTCAGCTGTCCCTCATCCACCAGCACTGCTCAGGGACACCCACCTGGGGAGGCTTCTCCAGCTGGTGGGGGCTGGAGACAGAGCAGTGTAATCCAAGACACTTTCCCACTTTGTGTAATTACATAAATGTTGAATGATCGTTTTCCTTAACACCTGTTTCTGTTATTTTGATGAACTGGTGGGGTGAGACCCCCCCCTTTACCTCCCACAGCAGAGGAGCAGTAACAGGGGTAGAGACTTCAACTGGGCAACAGCTCCAGAGGCAGACAGGGATGGAAAGCAGTTTAAATCATGGAGATTCAAGACTCTGAGCTCTGAGCACAGCCCTTTTCCACTTGGAATGCTATTTACTGTATGAGGTTGGTGTACAGAGATGGCAAAAGATACCCTGGCCCTAAGCCAGGGATCTCCAAACCCCCTGAAGCTCCAGCAGGCTGCTTCCAGCTGGTTCACAGACGCAGGTTAGGCTCCAAGCCTGTTCCAGATGTAATCTCTAGCTTGGGGCCCACCTTGTGTTCCCACGTCTCAAATTAACCTTTGTTCCCATCAGAGCCACCTTGCACTGGTACCACAGCAGCCTGTCAGGCCTGTTTTGTGTTCCCAAACACTCAGCAAAACCTTTCGTGACATGCATGAGCCTGATCCTCACATCTCCCGGCCAAGACACTCTGAAACCTCCTCAAACCAGCTCTGGCCAAGCCTCAGGTGACATCAGCAGCACCGTGACACTCAGGGCAAGATGAGCAGGATGGGGCTGTCACGGTGCTGCAATCCTGCCTGGGATCACCCAGCTCACAGGCACATCAGGAACTAAACAGTGAGAACCACAACAAGCACCCTCCTTCCTTTTCCCTTTCAAAAAGGGACATTCCCAGCCAAGGGTGGAGCTGGAGTTAACTCCATTTTAAGGACTTATTCATGGCTGTATTCCCAAGAACACCACAAGAACCATTTGGCACCAGACCTCAGCCATAAGTTACTTTTGTCACACTGTTCCCATGAATTACTTCTGGGACACTGCATCTGCAGACACTGAAGTCTTTGTTATCAGATTCCTATGAAAGGTAAACTCACAACAGCCATTTCAGGAAGGGTTTTAATCCAAAATCCTTCATATCAGCACAAAATCATTTCTGCCCAAGAAGAATCAGAATCATAACAGTTAGAAAACCCCTTTAAGAGCATGGACTCCAACGTTTACAGAAATAACCAAATAAAACACAACTTTGACTAATAAGATTTTCCACAACTTATTTTATTCTGGAACACAAGAAAGCAGGGAACCACTTTTTCCTCCAGCCAACTGTAGATCAGGCCCTGGTGAAAAAAAAAACCAAAAAAACACGGTATCAGAGCAGGTGAAAAGTTCCTGATTTGCAGTATTTAATGTGGAGTACAGATCTCAGGAGACAAAACCTTGCTCCCACCCAGGCCAATGGCACTAGTACCCAAATCCTTTTTTGGATTTAGTGGTCCCTTACCCATGGTGTGGCTGCAGCAACCACTGAGCAGTGAGGAGGAGCCTGTGGCTACACACAGGTGGCCATTTCACACGACATATCAGCAGTTATTTGTGACATCCAGTCCAGAGCAATCTTCCTTCCACATCTGTGAGAAACCACAAACCAAGGCTGTAACTGTTTTCCTAAAAAAGTCCATTCTGAAACAATTCCTTCTGATCTCTAAGCACTGAGTAGCTTTTACTTGTCCCATTTATTATCAGGCTGCCTCTCCACTTTCTCTTCCCTTGGAAGTCAAAAGCTCCAGGTGCTTGTCCCAGTGCCTGATGCTGCTGGGAGACAGCTGTGCTGTCAGAGCACCCAAATGCCTGATTTGTGGTGCCATTCCCTCCCCTTTCACAGTCCTGATGACGCTCCCTGTCACCAGCTCTGCTGGCCTGTCACAAGCTGTTATTGACCTTCTGCAAACAAAACCGAATTCTGTTCAATAAAGCGTAAAATCATTTAGCAGAAGGCAGCTGTCAGCTGCCCAAGACAAAGTGCTGCTCCAGCCTGTGTGCTCAGTGACTGTACATCAGGGAAGATAAAAAATGCATTTCTTATCTGCCCTTCAACCTGGCACTGTTTGCACAAGGAACTTGAAAGCTCTTTGCAGCTCTAAACTGTGCTATGACAACAGCAGCCCTGCAGCTGTGCCTGGGACTGCACCTGGCACAGGGTGGCAGGACAGGGGACAGATTCTGTCACACTGGTGCCACTCACACCTGTGGACTCTTTGCAAGGGGCAGGGGACCCACTAAGGGAAGTACTTGAGCCTCAGTGGACATTTTCCTCCTCAAGCTGAGTGTCAGACAGGGATAACAGCACATCACAGGCTCAGTGTCTGTCCCACTCCATGCTACACAAACCCCTCATGTTCCCCAAAACCACACACAGAACAGATACACAGCTGTTCTCCCTGGGATTTTTCCTGGTAAACCTGCAGAGATTAGGCTCACCAGGTGACTCAATGTGCCTACAGGCCTGGCATGTAATTAATGAATTAAAAACAAACACACAATACTGAAGAATTCAATTCTCTTACCAACCTGAAGCCAAACACAGCAGCTGCCCTCTGGCCAAAGCTGTCTTTGGGCAACAGCAGCCCCAGGATTCTGCAGGACCATTTCCTCCTAAATACAAGTTGTAATGAACACAGTTAGCAAAAGCACTTTAAATGAAGTCAGCTCTCTTCCCCTCACCTCTCCTGAGAAAAATCCCCAGCACTGGATCACAAAGCAAGAAGTAGAAATTCTCCATTCAAAGACAGGCAACTTTTGTCTCACAAACTCAGCAGAGCAGAAAGCTGTCCCTCAAGACACAGAGGAGCATGTTTGCCAGGGGGCTGTCTCATTCACAGAGAAGAAACTTTGGGAGGTGGATGCTATTTAAATCCTTGTTTAGGGAAAAAACCCCACCAGCCCTGAGACACTGGTGGTTTAGACCCTTTTAAGATGTTTCAACTAGACTTTCTCCTCATCTTCCAGAAACCTCCCAGTCCAACTTGTTCCTTGCACCCAAGAACAATCCATCCATGGTGTAATTTGTCTGTGGGTTTATGTTAAGAAATGCATTCCTCAGACCTAGGACAGCCACATCCCCTCAGGTGACAGGTTCCTCAGGGTGTGTCCTTCACAGGATGACCCTTTGGGGCAGGTGAGCTGCACCTCCCCACCCCCAGCAACCTGATGCAAGTTTGAAACTGTCCCAGAGCACCTGCAGGCAGGCAAACAGAGCAATTATTCTGTCACTAGGTCTATTTCTGAGACAGATACAGTTATGAGATGAGCTGTGTCAAGTGTCTCCATAATGGGCTGTCATCTAATCCCTCCTACCTCTAATCCTTCTACTCTGGCTCATCTCTGACCACGCTGACAAGCAGGTGCTCTGCCGGGCACCAACACCAGTGAAATTCCCATTCAATCCATGCTGCTTTTCAGCTTGTGCTGCATGCCAGCCAAGGGCAGCACACTCAGGTGGCAGCTGTGACAAAGCTACAGCCTTTATTGGCTTAATTACATTCATCAAGCTGTTGGGCTTTTATATCCCCTCCCAGGAGCCCCAGGAATTCAGGAGGGTATAATTTGAGACAGCAGAGTGAGTCTTTCTCCCATAACGCTAGAGGAGAAAAAGAAAACCAGACTGTGCCAAGACAGATGCTGCTGTTTCTCACCATTGTGAAGGTGCACCGTGGGTAAATCAGCTCCCCAGCCAGGGGAGTGTTTTTACCCCTTCTTGACACGGTGTCATGCTCTGAAACCGAGAAAGGACACAGAGTTAGTTCAGGTACCAAATCATTCCTTTACCTTTGTGTCTCTAACACTGAGCCTCAGAGTTACACTTCCACAGAAGAAAGATCAAATTCAGACAGGGATAACTTTTATCATCACTAGCTCAGCTTCCAGAACAGTAGAGGACCATCCCAAATCGCAGACTCGCAGATCCGTTTTTGCCCTCGTGGCTGTCACGCTCCTCACCCGGGCAGCACCAATGCCTGAGCAGGGCTCGGGCCAGCCCGCGGTTCCTGGCGCAGCCCCGTCACGGCAGGGCCGGAGCCCGCTGGGCCCAGAGCCCCGGCCGTGCTCTCTCCGTCCACCATGGCGGGGAGAGCGGCCACTATCACGCCCTCCCCATGCAGCCCGCAGCCCTCGCCACAGCCCTACTGGCAGTTCCGGCAGCGTACGGGAGTTCCCCACACACCATCCGGCCGCCCCCGTGCCGCTCGAGGCCGTCGTGCCCGCGGATGGCGGCCGATGACGGCCGGGCCCACTCACCACACGCAGCTCCGCCGCCATGCTGGCTCAGAAACAGCGGGGAGAGGGGCGGCCGCGGGGGCTCATGGGAGCTGTAGTCCTGCCCCTCGTGGAGCGCGGAGGCTGACGGGAAGTGTAGTCCCGTCCCTCAGGAGTAAAGTGCGCTCCTGCCCCCCCCCATCCCACTCCTTAATGGTATTTGCTAATTATTTATTAATTCTTCGTGTACCCTGTTCATTAGCGGGACACGTATGATTGTTCTTAGTAGGCTGAATGCTTCAAAAGGCTGAACATGCATTAGCTTATGGAGGAAGGGGCTAATTAGCTGGAAATCAGGGATTAGTCAGAGATTAGTTAGTAAATGTATGTGCTGTGCTTTGAATGTGCGATGTGCTGTGATTGTCCTTTGCTGTTAAAACCTGACATGAAATCCACAGGATCCTATTTAGCTTATACATGAAACTATAAACGAAATTATAACTTATAACATTATCCATATGAAACTATGGATGATTCCATTTAGCTTTAGTATATAAAGTCTGTGTGAACATTAACAGGGTGCAAACACAACCAAGGAGAAGAAACATAAAAGCTGCTAATATCTACTTTCTTGCCCCAAAGGCTTATCTAAAAGCTAAAATTCCCCTTCAGCAGAGTTCAGATCCCAGAAGGAGAGAAGATGTGACTTGGATGTGCTGAGGGATTGATTTTTGGGTGGAAGCCGCTCAGCCCGTGTGTGCCTATGAAAGGATAAGCTCTGCCAGGTACCAAGTAATGAATGGACTCAACAATTAAAACTCGGGAGAACAGCATGAGCTAAGTGTGCAGTTGATTTGATGCAATAATTCATGTTTTCAGTGCACAGATAATGGTTCCAAGGATATCCTGGAGTCAGAACAAAGACTCTGGGCGAAGAGGGATAGCCACCGCCTCGCCCATGCCCACTCTTTCCTAATTCTCTACAATTTTGCCTGTGTGGGAATTAATCGGATTTTCTCAGCTCTTCCCTTTAGAGGGCGACCATGTCCCACAGATCTCCAGCATGGAACCTTCACCGGGAGCTGCAGGACAAGGCAGAGCCTCCCCGAGGTCACCGGGATCTGGTGGCTTTCCTGAAGGTCTGCGAACCATCCGAGATGTGAAGGAAGTTACAGCCTGGTCTGAGGGTTGTCTTTGAACACACTGTCCTTCCTCAGGCAGCTGCAGTGCTGCTCCCAAGGGCAGTTTGGACATCATTTGGAGAGATTTCCTGTGGCCAATCTCCATCAGTTGTGGTGTTTTCTTGCTCCAGTCTCTGAAAGGTTGGACAAGTAAGGAAAGCTATGAAAAGGGCATGTAGATCTTCTACGCGTGAACCTTTGGGGGCTGCTCTCAATTTCCCTGCAGAGGATTTGGAGGGGATTGCTTCCTCCCACAAATCATACGAGAGATCAGTATCTGACAGAGGAGGGAAGGATGGAAAAACAAATGGAAATCAATGACAGAGTCACTCCATCTTCGGCTGGGCTTTGATCCCATGCTCAGATTGAAGGACAAGGTCATCTCTCAGTTTTCCACCCATTTCTTCTCTTAGCTGCCTGTAAATCCCTCGAGGGAGAAACTCTCCATGCTTATTGACAGTAATTTGATTTCCTCCTGATTTCCCCTCTGCCTGCCCCAGTCCCACCCTGCAGACAGGGCTCCAGAAAGCCTGGAGAAACAAAACATCTGGGGCTTCAGAGATGCTTTGCTGTGGTTATCTTTGACATATGGCCAGGGGGAAGCAGCCATTTGAACCCATTAAAGGCAGTTCCCCCCTGGCAGACCCCAGCCTCTGCCAGACTGCAGTGCACAGAGCACGAGGAGATGCTGGGGTGCAGTGATTGATGCTTGTTTCTGTCAGAAATGCTGGGTTCCCAGCAAAAAACAGTCCCTTTGGGTAAGGCTGGAGATTGCTTGCTGGTGTTTCAGGTGCCAGGCTTACAAGAGAAAAGAGAGAAACTATTAAAAAAAAAAAAAAAAAAAAAAAAGCCTGCCACAAGGTCCTAAATCCTGGTGTCAGTTGCTTCAAATCAGCCCCCTGAAATGGCAGAAAGGCTCTTTGGAGCTCAGCAGCAGACAAGCATCATCTTCCCACACAGGACAAGGCACACTGCGAACAAAACATCCTTCCCTGCTCCTGGCAGGAAAGCTCTTAAGCCTTCATTTAATATTAAATACACGTTTAAAGCTAAACCCATTTCTCAGCATGTCTCGTGTGCTTATGTAGAACTTCAGCAGGCTCAGGAATGCTCTGCTGTAACTGGAGGCCTGTGCACTGAATAACAAGAGCTCTATGCTTACAGAATATCTGTGCAAACAAGGGATGACTTCTCTGGGATGGATTCTGCAGGTTGAGAAGAGAAAGTGTTCCCCTTTCTCCTGATGGTGCAGAAGAAATTGCAGCTCTGACCATTCAGCTGTTCCTCCTGCTTCTTCCCCTCTTTCTCAACTGAGCTTTGGGCACAGTGCAATAAAGCCAGTCTCAAGGTACTGGTTTTTGAGTGCAACACAGAATGGATCTTGAGGAGATTGTGTCAGTGGGATGGAGACAAGTGATCAACACTTTTGATCCTTCAGGTCTGTGTCCCAGCCAGGCAAAGTGACCATCTTGTCAGAGCCAGCCAGATTCTGTTCCCAGCTCCTCGGGGGAGTGATCAGAACAGGGAACACACACAAAATGTTCCAATGGCAGTGCATGCACAAATAAATCCTGGGGCCAGACCGATGCATTTGTTGGACAGTAGCAGCAGCAGGACACCAGCTTCTTCATGGATGAGCATGTTTAATTGAAATATACCCCTCTGAGCATACCCAGAGATAGGGGATGTGTACAGCGACACAAATGCTCCCAAGGCAGCAGGAAAACTTTAACTTTGTAAAGCTACTGAGACCAGGAGAGAGATTTCCTTTTAGGCCAAGTTAGATGAGCAAGGAAAGGAGAGTTGTCCTTGCTTTGGGCAAAGAGATGGATCCTCTCTATTTTCTGTGTCAGCCTGAGCAGTTACTGCTTAGTAAGCAGAAAGGGAGTCAGTTGGTATAAAAATACCCAGCTAATATGGATGGGAAACTTCTCAGGCCTTCTTTTATCACAGTGTTTCTATTTGCTTGGGTTACTTGGCCAACCAGCCATCAGTTCAGCCATCCCCATCTGCACAGTGCTGTAAGCAATATTTCATCTATCAGGCTCAGATACCAGAAATATGCTGGGCACACACGGAGCAAACAAACATTTTCTTGCAAGTGATTAGCATAAGCTGCACCGAGGTCAAGCAGTTGTGTCAGAGCACAATGCAAATCAACATTTCTTCCTGCTGCAGATGGAAAATGGAGAATTGCAAATGCCATATCTCCAGCTCACCTCTTGCTTCCCACCATTTATTCCAGAGGAAGGAGATAATTGTTTTGAGGTACTTTTGAGAATAGCATCTCTGCTGCTTTCATTGCTTAATGGGAAAAAAAAAAAATGTTTAAATGATGAAAGGTCACATTATTTCAGGATCTTTTGGTTAATTTTTCTTGCCCTTGTGCAGGGAAAGCAGGCCAAATGCCTAATTTGACGAGGTCTGAAGGTAAGCTGAGGCTTTTCAAGATGACAGAGGACAGCTGGTTAAAGGACAGTGGTTATTCCTCCTGCTGCCTGTAAAAAGGTTTCTTGAGAACAGTTTCCCATTGACATCTGCGTGAAGGAGCCCTGCTGCAGGGTATCAGACCAAGGGCCACCCAGACTCATGTCATTTTTCCAAGATATGTCCAAAATTAATGCCTAGGGAATGCAGGAGCAATGATAACTTACAGTATACCTCCCAGCACCTTTCCAGCCACCAGCCACTCGAGGGGTGCAGATTCTGAGAGCCAGAGGTCAGCTCACTGCCCCTGCTAAAGAGTCTTCTCTGGAACAGAGATTCCAGTAACTTTGTTTTCCATGAACTTGCTCAGTGAATCTGTAACAACCATTCCCTCCCGTGGGGAGGAGAGGGACCAGCTTCCTTTTGTCTGCTCCATGTCTGGCTCCTGGTGCTTTTGTTTGGTGGCCCCAAGTTCCTGCACAGGAAGAGACCATAAATGGCCTTTGCTGTCAACCCTCACTGTAAGGGCAGAACTCATGGATCTACTTATCCTAGCCTGTCTTCAGGCTCACAAGCGTGATTCCTTTAGAATAGATCAAAGAGGGTAGTGTTGTTTTAAACCATTGTTCTCCTCCAGAATGTGATCTATCCACTTGCAGATGGCTTTTATGGTCTCTAAAGCCTTGCATGGATTAGCCTGAGTTTGACTGTGTAAACATTTTCTCTATCCCACATCCTGCTTCCACAGCATGTCTCATATTCACTTCTCTGTCCTTTCACTCAATCCAAACATCCTGCAGAAAGCCTCCAGCTCTCCTGGACAGCCTTCCTCGCTCCCTTTCCCCACAGGCTGCAAATAAAGCTCAGCCAGCCCGACACAACCCCCAGATTCCCGGAGATCTGCTTACAAGGGAGAGGCTCACATGCCTTTCCTTCTGATCCAGCTACCACCACCGTGCCGCGGTGCCGTTGCTGCAAGGTCGGTCTGTCTTTAGCCGTCTCCCCCCTGCACTTCTCGAGTGCTCTCCTCTCTTTCCTCAGCTGTCATCTCCCCGCTGCTGAAGGAGGTGGGCGGGAGAACACGCTCCGCGGGAGACGGCTAATCTTCCGTAGCGCCTGTGCTCGGCGATGGGAGCGCTCAGCTGCTCCGGCATCCTCCTCCACCTCTCCTCCCAAGGTCAGCCCCACCTTGGGAGGCTGCCTGGGAAGTGCTGCTGGGGGCTTAGGGTGTGTGTGGGGAGCTGGGCATGCACCCCTTTATCCCACAAACCAGGGGCTGCGCCCAGCACGCTGCAGAGGAGGGAACTGCTGCAGCAGGTCTCGGGGTAACCCCTTCTTCTGGGGGGGCAGGACTGAGGTTTAGGGGTTCACGGGGGTCCCTGCTGCTGGAGAAGCTGTGGGGCAGGCAAGGTGAGGCAGGGGGAGCCAGGACAGCGTGGGTGGCGCTGCCACAAACCGCAGCACCTGGTTTTCCAGAAGTTGC